GTTTTCCCATTGCTGGTGACACTGGGTAAGATGACAAAGGACAGTCAAGAGTCTATCACTTACTACCCTGAAATTACTCTGCATTAAAGGGGGAGGGGGCAGGCAGAGGACACCAACACTGACTGGCTTCCTTGTTGCGATGCAGTAAAGGCAAGCTATGGGAAGAGAGGCGGCACTTTTTAAATCAACATACTTTCCTCCTGATGCCAAGATGGGAGGAAAAGCAGATCACCACTGCTGTGAGGAATAGACCCATGAATAAACTATTTATCACAGAAATGCCATCAACCTCTAGTGATTTCTTTTCAGACCCATGGAGTCTTAGTACCACTGACACTTCTCTTTGCTCAGGAGTGCACACACATAACAATATACTTGCAGTGCTCAGACCTGAGCCAGCACCACGGAAAAATGAAAAGATTGGAGAGAAGAGGGTGAATTGCTAAAAATATGTAATCAGCAGAGGTAAAAAGCACTGACTTTTGGCCAGGAGCCTGTCCTAAAAAGGCAATTTCAACTATTAGTTGACTTTTTCCATATCCCATGAGACCTTCATATATTATAACATGGCTTAATTTAGATTCTTTAAATTTGTCCAGTAAGCTTTCAAAGATGTCAGTCTCTTTCTTGCGACCTGGAAGAAAACAATAAAGGAGAACAAAGAACAAAATAATAGTTTTGTACACTAAAACAGATATTCACAAAATGAGTTAGCTTTTGAATGAGAAATTATATCAAATAATTACTATTGCATAGTTGGTGGCATACTGGAGTATTCACCGTGGTTACTAAACACAAGAGATATGTGTATGTCTCTGTATGTATCTCTCTGTGTGTGTATGCATGCAGAAGAACCACAAATCCACATTTAGAGAATACTCTAACCTCTTCTGAGGGTCTTTAAAGAAACTTTTCAGCAACTTCCTTCCAGAAATTTCCTTCTTCTATAGGTTTTGCACAATAAACTCTGCCTACACAGTTTCTTTGATTAATACAAAAAATGTAAAATCCAAAATCAGCAATGGTTGAAGGCTAGGCAGCAAAGAAAAGGCGGTCTCCTGTCTATATCATGTGGGTCATATAGCAGGTTTGAAAGGCTTAGAGAAGAAATGTGGGGCTAGAAGTTGACATCCCTTTGACAAAAGAAAAGCATGGGGATGTAATGGCAGATAGACAAAGGAGAAAGTGCTACTGAAAGTGGAGAGAGTGGTAATATTGAAGAAATATGGGAAACTGTTGGAGAAGCTGGTAGAGTTGGTGATATGGGAAGATTTTTGAGATGAGGAGACTTGGCAGAGTTGGATTAAACAGACTTTAACTGGGATGGACTGAGAAGTGGAAAGAAGGAAACTTGTGATAAGTTGACAGCATGGGAAAAATGACAGAAAGTGAGAACAGGATCAGAATAGCAAAGACAAGAGGAATGGCACTTATAAACTTCTGAATTCATGAGGGGTGAAAATAATGTGACTGAGAGCTAGAAAGAATTGCAGCTAAAGGGCCAGGTAGAAAAGTGGCTGGTACAGGAAGATTAGATTCTCCTCCTAAATTCAGGTTCTCCTCCACTTTAGCAGCATCAAGCTTGTGCAAACATGAGGCCCACAGAAAGAGCAAGTATCAGATAGTGAGGAAGGCTGAGCTGCTGGACCTGGGAGCTTGTAACTGAGAACAGCTAGCTGGACCAGGAGGCCACAAGTCCTGCCAGCAAACTTGGGTGGCTTCAGAGGCTAGGACACTGACCAAATTATAATTGGGAGTACCATCACAGAAGAATCACCATCCAAGGTCAGGCAGTTCTAAATGAAAGAAAGACTGGAGAAGGAGGTCCCTCTAGAATGAGAAAACAGAGGGGTGAGGGTTCCTGCCTTTGTCAGCCTAAGTGAGAGAGGGCTGGGTTGGAGTGGGACCAATAAGAAGTTTTTTAGGATAGGGATTGAGAAGGGGCAGGTAAGAAAATGGGTCCCTCTGAAGTGAGAGTGTAGATTAAATGTCAGATGGGTAGATTTGAGTGGCCAGGAGCCAGAGATGCAGTCTGTCTAGATAATTATGGTGTTAAGATTATTGCAATGTACTCTACATGTGCTGCCTTTGAAGACTACTTTAAAAACTATGCAGAAACTGTAATTGCTGTAATCTACTTCACTTGGATTCTACTCTTCTAGTGCACACATTCCAGAGTTCTTCCTGCACATGAGATTTGGGGAAGAGCAGAAGCCTATGTTGTCTTGGGGTGGCACGTGCCCTGTGAAACAGCTTCCTACTGGAAATCTGGATGGTACCATCACTCCCCATCTTTAGAAAAGCTGTTCAAACAAGAGCTGTTCAGAAGGAACTTTGGTTAAAATCTGTAATTGGCATGCCTGTTATTTTTTGTTTTGCGACAGTAAATTATTATATGGTCTGTTGGTTTTAATATATTATTATACTATATTATAATAATTATTATTATTATGGTTGGTCACACAGCCAGATGTTTAGACTGGATTTGGCATTTTTATCCACCTACCAAGTCCTTCTTCCCAAGGACCTAGGATAGGCAAAAGTTGTTGTTTGCTGGTTTGATGGTGTTAAAGGTATAGTTGCAGGATGTGAGCTGTTCCAAGTAAAGCTGCTTTTTGCAATTGACTGATGATGATTTTGTCAATGCCGATGGTCTTCAGGTGGTGCTCCAGATGTTTTGGGATTGCACCTAAGGCACCTATAACTGTTGGTACTACCTCTGCTTTCTTTTGCCATAGTTGTTCTACTTCTATTTGCAGGTCTTTATATTGTGTGATTTTCTCCAGTTCTTTCTCTTCTATTCTGCTGTCTCCAGGTATTGCAATGTCCACTATCCAGACTTTTCTGTCTTTCTTATCAACAATTGTTGATAAGAAACAACAATTTGTTGATAAGAAAGGGGTTTTGTGTTGTTGTTGTTGTTGTTACAGTGCACCACCATGAGTCCACGTGCAATGTTAAAAAATCTTGAGTTTTTATCCTTTTTTTGTTTTTCTGTTTTTACTTAGTGTTTTATGATGTTTATTGTTTTTATGTATTGTATGTCACCCAGAGTCAAGCTTTGTGAGATGGGCGGCTATATAAATTTGTTAAATAAATAAATGCGTATGAAATCAAATAAACAAATACATGCAACTGTGCATTTACTGGCAATACTTCTTAAACTGCCACATAGTTATACCCACTATCACTGAATGTAACAGCTCTGATTTCTGAGTAGACATCTATAGAATTGTTCAGTAATGAATATCTGAAGATATGCATAGATGGAACATTGGAATTCTGGCACAAAAGCTCAGGGCTATGCAAGGCTATGCAGATTAAATGTGATACACAGGATAAACAAACAGATGTCTCATAAACCCATAGCAAGCTTGCTCTAATATCCCAGTAACTGATTGTTATGGTAGATCAGTTCACATACCTAGTAAAGGGTAATGTTCAGATCTTTCCTTGGTTAAATATGCTTTGTAAATCATTCTATTAAAAAAATGGGGGTGGGGGGTGGGGGAGAGACAAGAAAATGAAATCTGTGCTAACATTTTTCAAATTGCCTTGGATGAAGAACTAATAGTAACATCGATTCTAGACCAGTTGCAGCTTCCAGATGGTCTTCAAGGGCAGCCCCAACAAAGGATGACCAACATAGAGGTGACTGTGAGCAAAGATTCCCAATCCAAGAAAGACTATAATTGGGGCACAAGATGGATCTGTTCAAAAGCCCTCTTAATTACAGCCACACTTGCTCTTCAAGCAGGAGCTGTGAGTCTAAGAGGAGCCCAAATTATCAATCAGCCCTGAACAGGGAAATGCAACCCTTCAGAACCAAAGATGGAATATCTCTGAAATCAGAGGGCTCCCACACCCAAAGCCATTTCATCTTCCTGGGATTAAATTTAAGACTATTCTTCCCCATCCAGACTGTCACAGCCTCCAGTCACTGAGAAAGAAACTCAGCCACACCTCCTGTTCAGCCGAGATTTAAGATACATAGTTGAGTATCATCTTCACACTGATGATACCTGATTCTATGCCAATGGTTGACTTCCCCCAGTTTCATGTAGATGTTAAATGAGGAGTGGAGAACTGTTAATCCTTGTGGTGCCCACAATGGAGATTCCTGGGTCTTGATCTCTCATCACCTACTACCATCAACTAGAACTGCCTACTTAGGAAGGAAAACCCCTACAGAATTCTGCCCTCCACTCCCAGTCCTCGCAGATGGTCCAGAAGGGTACAATGATGAATACCTAAAGCCACTGAGCAATGAATCACAACATGAGGATTGCACTTCTCCTATTCCATTCCTGCCATGGGAGCAATCCATACGGATTTGGTTCTGTACGTGGGCCTGAACTCTGACTGAAAAAGTACAGAAAATTCATTTCCTCATGAACTCTCTGCAAGCGCAACCACTCTATCCTCTTAATACTCCCCTCTCCAAAATAGGAAATGTTGGAAACAGACTACTAGTTATCTAAAACTGCTAGGTTGAGTGATGGCTTTTTGAGAAGGGAACACACCACCACCTTCTTCAAGATGAACTGTACCCCCTTTCAAAGAAGCATTCCATTACATTGTCCTCCCCTCTCTACAGATCTATATCATTGCAACAGAAAAAAAATATGTATTATTTGCTTCATAATGTGTAATATCATTCTAAACTATTTCTTTTGTTTAACATATATCCAATTGGACATGAGCAAAGATTTGTTGTGCCTGAGAGAAGAAATAGTGAAAATACTATTTATTTGGTGTAACTTGTAGTCACCAAAACTGCTGAAACAGACAGAAGAAAGGATTCTGTCTGTAGAGATAACAAGGAGGATATGAGGAAATCATAGTCCAGCAGAAGAGGTCTTTGCAAAACAAACATCAATTTGCCTGCTTTGCTGAGAGCTGAATCTATTGGAAGGGAAGTTTCCTGGGTCTATTCTACATTCAAAACTTTAGGCAGCCAGAGCAAATTCTTTTCCAGCTATCAACAAGGCAATACTTACGTTTTCTCCGTAATACCAAGAAATTGATAGACTGTCCCAGGATTCACAACACCTTTCATCTCAACAAATGGGAGTTCTTCAAAGAAGTAGGGTGGCAGTTTGGATTTGGAATAAGTGAGTGCATCACAGCTTACTAATCCTGGATAAAACATCATCAACCGTGCAGCAAGGTTAACTTTCCGCCCAATCACTAACATGGAAAGAAACAGAAAGAAGTCCTCAACTGCATGTACATTTCTCCTCCAGCAGTATTGCAAACAAGATGAGGTCTAGGACTGAGCTACCTAAAACAACTGCCTAAAGTAACTTTTGTATAGAATAGTACTTTCATGTCAAGAAATGATCTGGGTCCAAGGAAGGGCATGCTATTCTAAAAAGTAACCCATTCCCAAATTAGAGAATGAGGCCCATGCAGTACAGCTAGGACAAACAGGACAAAGGTTCTGAGGCAGAAATATGAATAAATAGCTAAAAGAAGTTGCACTAAGAAACGTAGGCTCTGGTGGGATAGATGAGGAAGCACTGTTTGTCACGATCTTTAAGAGTGAGGTGGGAGCTAATATTTTATCTGTTGCACCAAATTTCTGGTCTTGGGCATGGAAGAGTAAAGAGATTCATTACAGCTGCACCTGTATATTCATGCCTCACACGATGACCAACCACTCCACAGAAAACTGGTCCACCGGTGACCCCAATAGAGACAATCCTGCAACACAAAGAGGAACAAAAAGTAACTGAATTCACAGAGGGGGCAAGAATCTCTCTTGAAAATGATAGGCTGTACTGGACCTCTAAGCTTCACTAGATTTCCTGGGACAATTACTTACCTGCACTTATCTACCCAACATGGAATCTACAAAGAATTCTGCTTAAGGTCCCAGCCACTCCATTTTATACCATCCTCACTACTATCCCTCAGTTTCTTGTTCCATTCTTCAAACTCATGCATACACCCAGCATCCACTGAGCATGCTCAACCATTCTTGAGCTGCTTTACAATTTTCTCTGAATGTTTTTTTTTCATAAGATTTTCTGTAGTTTACAAACCTTGGGTTGCCTCAGCAAAGATTGCTATCACCTTCCTTTTGTGCCAGTGATGCAGTTTTAGATATATAAGCAATGCCACTTATAGTCTGCATTCTGGACACAGAAGAATAAAAGGTAGGAGAGATACATCTATTTTGTCATGCAAAAAACATAATAGATGTTTCTTATAAACAAATGGGAAAGATGCCACTCTGTTTATCTGAAAAATGACTAAACCATCTTTCTCCTAAATATTATAACTTTAATACAGGAAAAGGGATCATATTCTCTGAAAATATGACATTGGAGGTAGATAAATTGTCTGTTTATCTTCCTAAAATGGGACATAATTTTAAATGAAGGGTTGCCTTTGTTTTTGGTAAATATAGGCCATGTCCCTACTTGAACCTAACCACAGTATGAACAAGTCCCAACAACCTTTTTCTACCATGCCTTCATCCTTAACTCATACCTGATGCAGTCAATTAATTAAGTAGTCCTTAGCTATTCTAACATTGTAGTAACTCTTCTAGTGTTAGTTGTTTTCCACTCATTTCAAGAAGCAACAAGTCATGGCAATTTGGATATGGGTACAATCTGACACAATTCACTGACCATTGATTGACTGTTGCAGAAAGAGGAACCCTAGAGAGTGCCTGTGGCAGGATAGGGGCTCCCAATGGGAATAGCAAATTCTGTGTTGATATAATTTGCTGTTATCTCAAGGAATGGTGGATAGCACTTTCTCTCAGCCATAAGGAAGAGTCCTAGATAGGATTAAAATGCTAAATATGTAGTGTATCTATTAAGAAAATATCAAAGCTTTTAAAAAATTAGACTTGACCTTATTTGAAAGATAAACCAGTACAATTCTAACATCTCTCCTATCACTTGGGATATTTTCACACAACCCCTGGCCCTACCCCTCAAACTGTTTGGTTCACCACCAGCATTCTTCCTCCATGGCATTTTCAACATGGCACTTTGTTGCAGGAAGGAGGGAGGAACTATCCAGGGTGAGAGGAAGGATGAGGCAGCTTCCTATCCTGGACCTCTAGGGAACACACTGCAAAACTTCCTTCACAGTGCTACTCTGGAGCAGGAGATAAACCAGTAGTTAATTGACTCAACTTCCCAAGCCCCATGTTGGCCTCCCACAGTTGTATGGATGTAGGGCACAGAACGGATCTTAGAAAGAAAGAATGCTTATCTGTAGAAGGGGCTTTAGTTTGCTGATTGTCCCAATAGTTTTCCCTAAAGCTTAAACCCAAGTCTTAGCTGATGCATCTCTTCATGATGCTATGAATACAGAACTAGAATTGGGGTACAGACATGGCACTCCTCGATATAGCAAGTTAGGGCATGAGCACTACATGTGATCAGATGTATGTCAATGACATCCCACTCTCACCTACTTACTTTACTTTCATGAGTGCTGTGGAACAGAAAGCATGAATTTTATGGGCACTATCGAGAGCATTCGTGCTTTCATCGGCTTGTTTATCTCCAGGAAGACCAAAGATGCAAAGAAAAGTACAGCCCTTTATGGAGAAGGGGAAAATAAAACATCAGAGAAGACTGCTTCAAAGAATAGGTAAATACAATTCATAAAAGATATTTACTTATTTAGTGTTGCATGCTGTTTTTCAGGTCAAGGTATCCTAAAGTAGTCTAAGTAAACTTATCATACAGTACCGTAAACACATGTATTACAAAGCATAATAAAAGAAACAAGGCTGAACAGTAGAAACAATATAAACCAAGAAAAGCACCTAATGAAATGGAGCATTACTATGTTCACATACTAATTCCATATTTTATTTTTAAATTTATTTTATTTATTTATTTTAGCACCTTGAAGATGCTCCTGTACATCAATATCTTTTTGATCACCAGCACCTTGGAAGATACTATTATTTA